TGTCTCCATCAGTGTTGTAAGAAAGATTTAGCGTTTTTAATTCTTCAATGAAGTCGTTGTATCAGTTTCCAGAAATGATAGGTGCAACCAAATGTAAGTCAAGCAGATACGGTGTGTTCTCCAGACAACTTCCAAACACGGGCGTTTCTAGGGTTCATCGTCACCTGTGGGTGTGTTGTGATGTAGGATATTTAAATACATCTCCAAATGTTTATCAAAGTAAACACCGTCAAGCTATGAAACTAAGAACGAGGACTTGGTTTTAACCTGAAGTGAAAGACAAGTTTATTAAGTTTCATGCTGTTCATAACTACTGACAGCTGAATGGAATTCGTAACATAATTATCGTTTAAATCCTAGTAATCAAAGTGGTATTTCTAACAGTTAAGCGAAACTTATACAAACCCACTACCCAGCTTTCCGCTAAAAATAAAAAGGCAAACAAACTGCTCTTGCGGAAAAAAATCAGGTTTATTGTTGAAATAGACGAAAAAGCTTAAATTGTACAGTCCAAACTAGCGGAAAACTCCACGAATGGGCGGAGAGGCGAGCCAACCCCATAATCTCCATATTAAATAGTCAAGCCCTAACTAAAAGAACAAATCATAGGCGTGATAACCTATTGACGTAGTTCGGACAAAATGTGGATTTTTTTCCCACACTTGTTATTCTAATCCTACTAAACTGATATTACTCCCAACATCTTTGGTATTAATGACGTCATACAGACTAGATACTTCATACGCTGATTGGAAGAAGAAGTCACGTGGTTTCTTCATCAGTATCACAACGAACCTTTCTCGGAGCTGGATGTTCCTTGATTGGCACGTGATGTCTGTTTCTTAGGCCCCAAATCAAGGTCAGTCTGTGAAAATTGTGACAGTAGCGTGGATTGTGAATACTATATGGTAGAATAGGTCTTACATGTTGCCCCGCCCTGAAACGCCTTCAACAGACATTGCCAGTGTAGTCCTTTCAAAATTGTACGAAAACAACGTGATCTCTCGGCAGTTTTTTAAAGTATAGTTGGATAATAATTCAAAACTGTCTTGGGCTAAATTAATTTTAAGCTTTCGACCTGAAAATCGAATTTTCAAGACAATAAGATAATATTTATTTTGATACAAGCAACAGAAGAATGAATGTCTTCCTAATTCAAGCAACAGTGGTGGAATGTCTTCCTAATTCAAGCAACAATGGTGGAATGTCTTCCTAATTCAAGCAACAGTGGTGGAATGTCTTCCTAATTCAAGCAACATGGTGGAATGTCTTCCTAATTCAAGCAACAATGGTGGAATGTCTTCCTAATTCAAGCAACAATGTGGAATGTCTTCCTAATTCAAGCAACGATGTGTCTCGTGTCCAATAGATTAATAAGCACAGTCTATACTTGTTATTTTCAGCCATAGTATATATTTTTTTAAAGAATTAAAAATTAAGATATCATTAAACTTGAAACAAAAAAATACTTATTTAATAAGGAGAATTGATGTTATCTGTAGACCAGTTTGATAATTTCTGTTGACTATTATCGAACTTCCTAGCCTGTTTTTGATCCACACATTAGTCTAACAGAACATTGACATAGTCGTTTAATAAGAAATAGTAAAGCAGGTTTTTTATCGGTCATTTCAAGGTTTATTGTCCTGACTGCTAAGTACATCAGGGCCTTACTATCGATGTCTCTCACTGTTTTTTAAAGATAGACGCTTTCCAATCTTCTTTCCAGACTATCTACTGTTTGTTTTGAAATTCGATATAATATTTATTCTTGACCTGCAAAAAGATGCTTAAGTGGTTCACAAGTTGCCAAAAGGTTCAGTTCAAATTACAAAAGTCATAGAAACTTTAATGATACCGTGGTAAAAAACAAACAAACAAAAACACGTAATATATATACTTTTCTAAATTACAATGCATTTCTTTACATACATATATTTAAAATTTATATATGTATACTGACTCAAATTTATGTCCTGCCTGAGCTACTTCAAGTGTTTAGTGTAGTGAGTGTTATTTTCTCTCTTCTGACTGAGCTACTTGAAGTGCTTAGTGTGATGAGTGTTATGTTTTGTCTTATGACTGAGCTACTTGAAGTGCTTAGTGTGATGAGTGTTATGTTTTGTCTTATGACTGAGCTACTTGAAGTGTTTAGTGTAGTGAGTGTTATGTTCTGAGCGTCTGAGATGGTTCATTACTACGTCAGAAGACAAAACTGAATACGTTTTGCTTCTCATCACGACAGTAGGTTAGGCTATGTAAACCGGAAATACCGTGTCTCGTGCTTATATCAACTGGAAGTACCGTCTTATGTTTTACTAATGCTAGTACTAGCTTCTCTCGTGCTGTATATAACAACATTAACAAAGCTGTGATTACGGCACGTGACTGATGGAGCAGAAATTTGTGCTATTTCTTCAGTTGATATGAGATCTAGGTTAGGCTTAAGTAATTAGGGTCAGATTTTAGAGCTCGTTTTAGGATAACTAAGATGCAGAAACTGGTTTAAAAACAGTTCACACTGCAGCCGACAGGTCAAGTCCTCACGGCCAGTGTTTCATGACCGTAGCGGTCATTTCATAGTTGAATGACCTTTGCGTTTGGACCGTGTTCTTGGTCTTCCGGGATCTCAGTGGTCCAAAATTACGGTCATCACTTGTCTTTAAATAAAACTACATATTCACAAGGCTTACATCAGTAAAGAAACGATGGCCGTAACACCACCTGGACTGAAAAATATGTGAAAATAAGAACGCTATCAATAAATCAAAATATGTTTACAGTTAGTAATCTTAGGCGTTTCTTACGTTTAAGAAGAGGAAGACTGTTTAAATAACTGTTAAGTTAAATTACCTTTCGAGCGTTGTTCGAAGTTCTAATACCAGCTAAATCTTCTGATGTATCAGTTTATTCTTTGTCATGATGAATTGTTTAGATATATCAAAACAATTTCATTAACGTAATAATTAATTATATTAAAGACTGGTTCTTTGAAAAGCAGAACTAGGAAACTACTGAGCGTTTATGTTTTATTTTTCGTTTTCTTAAAGTATGCCTAACCTCTCGGTAACTGTGTTAGGCTTAAACGTGATACCAAAAGAATTAAAATATTGTTTTGCTAATGCTCTATATTGTCGCTAGTGGGCCAAGTTCCAGATAAACAATAAGTGATCGAAAAGTTGTTGTAAATGGTATTTCTGCTAATATATTTAAAGTTTACGTAGAGTTTAAACAAATGTTGATATATTCTACTAAAAAAATGCCTTTTAAAATGCTTTATAAACTATTTACGGAAGTTCCCTTTTTAGCATGAAAAATCTCCGTCATTGTCAGTGTCGCAACGTTAATCTTGGCCTAGGTTTTCAGAGAGACAACAAGGCGCTCTGTAGTGTATCATTTTAATAACGAAGCAATAACTTTCTAAAATGCCTTAAACGTTTACGAGACTAAAGTAATACTTTATGTAATTTATTTATGAAAAGATACACGCTGGTATGGTAAAATGTAATAAGAAATTAAGTCTATCTGATCATTGTTTTATCCAACGACGAAACATTTCATCCGTCTTTTTCTAACCATTGTTCGGGAGGTTTTATCCAGTATGCGCAACTTTTTCCGGGACGTCGCCAGTGCCATCTATTATTCATAATAGTTTTAGAAAAAACGCTGAAAATTCCAAACATAAATTAAATTCTTTACGTGACTCGTATATTGTACTTTCAAATAACATTATATAATGTAATACACGTAATAGGTTTACTCGAAAATTCTTCTACAGATAATCTACCCAATGTAAAACCTCAGCTTAGAACAAGTGGTATTAGGTAGACATTTGTTCCTTAATTCTTACCGCTTTCTCTTGTCGATTTGAATAAAGAAAAACTTTGTGGTCGGAAAGAAAAATTAATCGTTTCGGATTCATAAAGAAAAGAAAAAACAGCAGCAAGTGAACGAACAAGTTATTAACCAGTGAAAGCTCACTGAAAGTTGTTTTAACACACACACAAACACCTGACACAACTAATGCCGGTTTTATTTGAGAGTAACGTCAACATTGGCTTTCTTTCACCAGTCCTACCCAATTGTATGATTATATCCATTTTTTAACATGGTTTACTTATGTTAATTTTTGTATGGAAGTTTTTATATATCTGTGATTTCTCTCTTCCAGTCAAAACGTACATATCACCAGTGCAGACAGAATGTATTAACATCAACTATTATATCCCCGACAATGAAGTGTCAGATTCTTTCTCCGATACCCGTTGGGACAGATTACGTAAGTTGTCTCTTAATTGTCGAAACCCACGGCTGTAACCGTTTGTGATTTTATTATTATTTTTACTTATGATTTATTTGTAATCAGTTTATTAAAATCATTCGTAGGTGAAACAGTTAAAAGCTATTTGTTTTAACCTTACAATAATGTAGTTATTAGAAGTGTGATTAATTACAGGTGTTTTGATATTTGCACTCGAAACCTGTTTTTGATTAACAATCCACGTCGTTAGGGTTAACATAGCCCTAGATTTGCAGGATTGATGACACAAGCATTACGAAGCTTGTATAACCACTTCATTGAATCATAAACTTGACTGCAAATCGTCTTTCTAGTGTCGTCTTGGCAACGTTATAGACATTATTAGTTTATATGATAGTTTGTTCGAAGAAGGTACTTGAAATTGAAGGTCAACTACCTTGCCTAGACAGCGCCAACAGGATTGCTGCAGGGAATAGGCTTAGACAGGGAACAAGCAACGAAGTCACGGCGTCGTGAACTTTTCATTTGTAATTACATTCAGCCAAACTGTGTATCGTCTTCCTTGTAAAAAATTTTATTTTATCTTTTTTAGTTTAAATAGAAGAGTTTGAGAAATTTAATATTTTTATTTGTATGAGAAAATATTTCACGAAAAAGAAGGGGGATACGGGTCACGTGAATATTATCTCAGAAAGAGAAATGTAAACATAATACAAACGATGTATGTTCAAAGGATTCTGTACCGAGTTAAGACTTTAAAAACTGAATCTTCAAACTTTTTTACACAACAATAAAAAAATATTTGTTCTTCATAAAGAGGAGATCCGTTTTCGAAAGCGCTCGAGCTTTAGGATCTTTTTGGATTTGGGTACTTGGTCTGTAGACATCTAGAAACAGGGCCATGAGTTCATGTCCCCGGTTGTTTCTTGGCTTCCTTCACGTTGATCTCAAGCCAGATTCAGCTGCCTTTTATTCAGAACCTCCAAATAAAAGAGAGAATGCTACAGAGAACAGTGTATAACTTGATAATATGGTGTAGCACCACCAGAAGAGACGTATATAAGTACGTGAGAAGAACCTTATGGTAGTACAGATCACCTTCCAGTGGTGTAGCACCACCAGAAGAGACGTATATAAGTACGTGGGAAGAACCTTATGGTAGTACAGATAACACATTGCTTAATAATAAACAAACAAGCAACACGTGAAAACTGGTGAAACATAAGTGTTAAGCTATAAAAAAATGTTATATTTACGTGACGGTTGTCGTTTCTTACAGACATGGCCCGATCTGTAATTAGGCTATAAAAAAATGTTGTATTTACGTGACGGTTGTCGTTTCTTACAGACATGGCCCAATATGTAATTGGGCTATAAAAAAACTTATATTTACGTGACGGTTGTTGTTTCTTATAGACATGGCCCGGTCTGTAATTGGGCTATAAAAAAAAACTTATATTTACGTGACGGTTGTTGTTTCTTACAGAAATGGCTCGATATGTAATTGGGCTATAAAAAAAAACTTATATTTACGTGACGGTTGTTGTTTCTTACAGACATGGCCCGGTCTGTAATTGGGCTATAAAAAATATTGTATTTACGTGACGGTTGTTGTTTCTTACAGACATGGCCCGGTCTGTAATTGGGCTATAAAAAAACTGTTATATTTACGTGACGGTTGTCGTTTTTTATAGACATGGCCCAGTCTGTAATTGGGGTATAAAAATGTTATATTTACGTGACGGTTGTCGTTTCTTACAGACATGGCCCGGTCTGTAATTGGGCTATACATCTCAGCATTTTTCTTCATCTTCCTGTCCTTCTTCACCGGGGTGGCTGGATGCTGGAAACGTTCTCATGGAAACATCGTAGCTACTGGTCTTTTGGAACTTTTGGCTTGTAAGTAAATTCGAGAGATTGGTGTAAGCGTTTGTTAACGGAGGCAGAAGTAGTTTCAATAAAATTAGGCTTAGCTATCTCAGAAACCTCCCGGCATTTAAAAATCGCTTGTTGTTTTGAGTCGAATTTTTTAATTTTGTGTAAAAATACAAAAAAAAAAAACACAACAACAACAAGAAATCAAGATGTGTTTAAAAAATTGTAAGGAATGTTCTCGAGACTAGTTGTGCGTTAAGTAAGCTATATTGTTCTTGTCTTTTTTTAACACAACGTTTCACTATATTTACCGATGAAGAAGACCGACGATTCAGGCTGTTATTATTTTGTAAATTAAAAAAACAAAACAAATGTTCACCAGGCAGTCCTATTAGTGTAATACACGTGTATTCTTCACTTCTCTTCTAAGTCTGATTGTCTTTTATCGGATATAGCTCTTGTTGATGCTGGTGCAATGGGTTTGTGGCATGGAGTTCAATACTTCGATTATCAAAAACTTGACGACCAAATGTCTTATTTCAAATGGCCAGCTGTAAGTATTGTTATAACATTGCGATTGTAAGCCACTACGTAACACTAAGTTAAATATTGTTATAGCATTATCAACGTAAGATACTCTGTTCTAATTCCTAATAGTGTTATCTACACACCATTGTTGTTTAATGTTATAACAATACTCCGATTGTAAGCCACTACGTAACACTAAGTTAAATATTGTTATAGCATTATCAACGTAAGATACTCTGTTCTAATTCCTAATAGTGTTATCTACACACCATTGTTTTGTTGACCCATCTGTGTTGTGACTACCGATAGTGTTATAATTGGTTAGGCCTAGTAATTACTATTTCAAATACTGACAACACACAAAATAAACATAAACCCTTAACCTTAATATTTTGTTTGTTTTTTTTTAGGTTCTGAAACAAACTGGACAAACGGAATTTTATTATGGTTGGTCGTACATACTGGCTTGGATTGGTGTGGGGATGAATCTCATTGCCGCCATTTTGTTTCTCTGTGGCGCCCGTTGCCTACGTCACGAGAAGAAGGTGGAACAGGCTAAAAACATGCAGTATCTGATGCCTGTATATCCGGACAAAAGACAACCTTATGGCTACGGATACGGATATCCTGGCCCTTATTACCAGTATGGTTACGGATACTAAGGAATACAAAATTAAAATGATCTGCTCGACATTGTAATATGAATATAAGTTATTTTAACATTGATTACAGCTCCATCTAGTGTTTTATAAGAGTTTTACTGGAACTTGTTGCATTAATAAATAGAGAGGATTTTAAAAAGTATTCAAATTGTATGTCTTGAGGTGTTTAGTGTGATTGAAATTCCAGAACGCAGTATGTCCATTGTTACTATATATAGCACGTGTCAAAGAGTATGGAGTGTTTGAAAATTTTTAAAGATTCTTGCATTGTTTTGTTGTTGTTTTTGGTAAAAATTAGGAATATGTCGATTGTATTGTATATATTTAGAGTACATGAAATATTAAAAAAATTGTGACAAAATTCTGACTATCATTAAGAGGATTGGATAAGATGAAAAATAGGTCTAACATAAAACATCTAAAGACTTATCGCCAATAGATGGCGCTGTATATAGTTTTTGCTTTTTTTATTTTCAAAAGGGGAATATATTATTTTCTTTATATATTCGTATATATTTTTCTGTGACCCTATGAATAACAATATGGACCGAATATGAAGCATGGATTTAATTAGTTTTAATTGAAGGCTGTAAAACCGTAGTTAGTATTATTTCTGGGTGTGTATGTGTGTGTGTGTGTGTGTATATATATATACATATATATATAGAGAGAGAGAGAGAAAGAGAGATTTGAAACAGTTTTTGTTTTGTCTTTAGGTTTTATATGTTAAATCGTGTATTTTTGTGTATTTTCAGATAAGAGAGAATTATTTGTTTTGGCCGTATTCAAGAAACAAATTGCTCAAAATCCTTGGTGTTAGAAATTTTTTCCAGGGAACTATGTGAGGGTTTTGTTTTCTTTTTAATAATCTGGACGTTTACCTACTGTCTGTAATACTTGGAAAATGTTAATTCACTGTTTTGGTAATCACGGACATTGAAGGTCATCATGCGTTGGTGTTTTATTTTTTAGCGCCAAGTTACACACTTGGTTATCTGACCCACCATCAGAGAACAAGGTTAACAGGAGATACTTTTTTTATATTTCTTGTATTTTAACTAATAAAAAAGTGAAATACCTATTAGTATCAGTGATATCGAGGTCGGAATCTCAACGGAAATATTTTTTTTTTCTGAAATTGGTTGATTTACGCTGATAAAATTAAATTTATCTTTTAAATGAATAATTTCTGTCAGTCTTCATTTGTATACTTATGAGTAACATTAAAATTTTTTATGTCGCGGCCTATTCGAGACGGAAGGTGTTCGAAACACGAAAACGCTTTTCTTTCTAAACTGACTGGTTTACCTCTTAAAACAATGGGGCGTAGTAGACTTTTAGGATGTCCTAATTTTCCTCTACTAGCAGCACCACCAAACGGCAAATCAGTGCTTAATGCTCTTCTGAATAGGGTGTGTTTTCAGTTTAGTAACTAATAGGCTATAATCCGAGTGTGTGTACGTTACAAATTGTATAAAGGTAAAAAAAATGGCTCATTGTTCTGGAGTATTTTTTTAAATCTTATAGCCTTACGAAATATAATCACATTTATGTATTTTCTTAAAAACTTACTTTATACGTGTTATATTTAAAGTATTTTTTAATTTTTTAAAGATTTTTGTTTTAATTTCTCTACTGGAAGCGAAAACGTTTTGAGGATCGTTACACGTGTCATTGCTTGCAGAATGACGTCATCCTTCACGAACCAATTATCGCATACCTTGTTTTTTTTTATTGTTTGCTTTACTTTACTTTCATGGAAAGATGAATAAAATAATTTTCAATTACAGCTAGTGTGTATGTGTTTGTTCACGAAGGTTTTGTACATAGAAGTGACGGAAGGGAGATAGATGAGTGATTTCTTTATAGATATCTAACTTTTGGGAATTTAAGAAATACTGAAACTCAACTCGGTGGGTGTAACACTTTACGTTTTTCTTATTTCAAGCTGATTTTAGTTTGGAGAACAGCACGATATTTGGTCCATTGCAATTGTGGTAATTTGCAGAAACATAATACGAACTAAAAATAATTATAGTATACATTTATATACGATTTATTTTAGTATGTTTAACAGAATTAAATAAAAACATAGTATAACATTAAGTTTCAGTTTCAAAACAACGGCGAACGTAGGTCAACCTTAGTACTCGTGTTTATAGAATTACAGGTGACGCGTACAGTGCTGGTAAGAATCTTTATTTTAATGGCAGTGTTTACTTGTTCGTGGCGCCATCTAGTGTTTGAGACTAAAGACGCATAAAATTCGATTTTACTCTATTTGTTTATTTTTCCAAACATAACTACATAAAAAAACACTTAGGTGGAGGTTAAGAAATTCCTATTAATCCTAGGCTAGTATCAAGTAACTTTAATTATTAATCATATCATATTTTCATCAAAAAAACTGTCAGTTTTTATTTTTACTGTCCCTCAGAGGAGGCTAATCTTTATTAATACCAATATCTGCTACAATGATACCTCTTAGTTTCAAAAATAAATTAATAAATGAGCAATACTTTGTTTTAATCGGAAAACAATATTGTTGGGGTGCTACAATTGATATAGGAACTTCAATAAGGTTAAAAATTGATAACATCTGAAAATGTTAAAGTTCTGTTATTTACTCTGTCACGTGAATGGTATATACCTAACGTTTTCAGACAACTGGTAGACGAGTCTTCACAGGAGTGGTAGAAGGACTTCCTTAAGATATAATAAAGCTCTTCGCAAATAAACTAAGAAATGTGTTCAATTTGTCACGAGGAAATCCGCAATAGCCGCGGCTGTAAATAGATCCCAAATCGGTCAAGAGATGGAGTTATGAGCTAAAGTTTGTACTGAAAAAAAATAAAAACATGGCCAGTTAATGAGACTGTTGTATGTTTTGGTGTAGAGCACACGATAAATTGTTTATTTAAAGTGAAATTTAAAATATATAGTTATCACTCATTTCTCCGCTTTATTTATTCAAGTATTATCTAATAATTCTCGTACTCAAATGATATGATATGAGGAGGATGACGCACGTGCTTACAAAATTAAACTTTTGGTAAGATTCGACTCTCTCTCTCTCTATATATATATATATATGTGTGTGTGTGTGTGTGTGTTTTTCCAAAGCTAACCTGTTTGTTATGCACGTGAATAAGATCCTCGCAATCTGAGGGTCGTGGGTTCGAATTCCTGTCCCACCAAATATGCTCGCCCTTTCAAAAGTAAGGGCGTTATATTGTATGGTCAATCCCACTATTCGTTGGTAAAAGAGTGGCCCAAGAGTTGGCGGTGGGTAGTGGTGACTAGCTGCCTTCCCTCTAGTCTTTCACTACTCAGTTAGTAACAGCTAGCGTAGATAGCACTCGTGTAGCTTTGCGCGAATTTCAAAACAAATCCACTCAATCTGCCTCTAAACTATTGGTTAAGGAACCTACACTAATTTTTATGTCATAATCTGAAATACCACTCAAATTTTATTTTACTAACTTCCCCTCGGTGACTCAATCTTAAGTCTACTGGCTTATATCGCTAAAATTGGATTTTAATACTCACCTTGTAAAGAGCTTCACGCTTGACAGCAAACTTTATTTCAATAAATTATTGTTCACTGGTGTCATCTGTCGGTAAATAATGCATGTAAAAATTAACACTAAAATTAATTTTAGCAATTATTTTAAATTAATTTTGTTTGTTTATTCTTTGTTAATAACAAAGCTACGCAATAGGTTATGTGTTCTCAGCCCACCACGGGCATCGAAACCCGATATTTAGCGTCGTAAGAATTGACATATACGTTTTTAACATAAAAAATCTGTATTAAACGAATACTATCACGATGAAAATATGTATCTAAATATATATTGTTGTACAAATTGCAGTGTTACTTTAAAATTAAGTACAAACTCAGAAAAATATACTCTCGTACTTAAAAATCTAACTACCCTATATTTGTTTGATTTTGATGTATGGTGTTTATGTAGCATGTGACAGTTATTTCGCTGAATAATAACGATTAATTAATTGTGACGATTTGTCACATGTTATTCAAACCTCTTAATTATTTTAGTTCATTAGTGGTAAGTAATGGACCGTACATCCAAACTAAACGAATGTTTACATTCCACCGCTATATTAGGCCTACTTTAATTATATGTATCGTTCTTTCAGTCCCCCTGTGGGACAGCGGTACGTCTTCGGATTTACAACGCTAAAATCATGGGTTCGATTCCCCTCGGTGGACACAGCAGATAGCCCAATGTGGTTTTGCTATGAGAAAACAGACACAAACAGTCGTTCTTCCAAGCAGCACTGATGAGCTGTGAATTCATCGAAACTAGTCTACTGCAGCCGAAGTATCGAATCAAAGAACAGATTAGGCTTCTACATAATCTTCACTGAGCATGTAAATACCTTTATATTTAACGATAAAGTATGAGCACAGTTCTAAAAGTAGTTTAATTATAAAAAAAATTGTAAATTTTGCGATATTTAAGTTAAATATCATGGGGAAAAGGTTATTGATTAGAGGATTTTTATTTGAATACTGAATAAATTGCTGTTACTGTCTGCTAATTATGAGAATTATACATCAATTGTTAGAATGTGAAGGTAATGTTATTACTATTGATATTATAATATTGTAAGCTACATTTTCAATGCAATACTTTAATTGTTTGCTAGAGAGAGCTGTTAATCATGACGATGTAATAATCAAGAACCTCCCCTTAATACCTTGAGACAAAGTTACATTATTTATAAATATGAGTAGGCAATTAGTGAAGTTAATGAGTATTCAGTGAGCTTTTGAGATTAGTGTCAGGAAAATTATTCACAGTGTGATGTGAAAGTTATCGGATCTTGTTTAGTTACTAGAACGATTAGCGAGGAAATTCCATAAGTAAATTTATTTGTGAGTTAGTTGTTTACCATTATTCTCGGAATCTCTTTTGAAACGTTGTTTGTACACTTAGGCCTACAACTACAAGTGAAAGTAGCTCCTTACAAACGTTAATGAAGAAATAAACTATTTTTTTAGTGTTACATAAAATGGATTTTGCACTGTTTTTAACAAATAATCCAAAAGAACCCAACTAATGACAGAACACGTTACAACAACTTTAATGGCATTAAGGTTTACACCTGTTCTTTCAATTATGTACGTTATTAACACAGATACTTTAGGCGGAAAATTACGGCTTTATACATATTACAATATTATCAAAATTTGACACATTTTACTGAATTTTAGTACACGTAAACAGGCTTGTTTGTTTCTTATGAATATTGCGCAAAGCTACACGAGGGCTATCTGCGCTAGCCATCCCTAATTTAGCAGTGGAAGACTAGAGGGAAGGCAGCTAGCCATCACCAACTCTGAAGTTACTCTTTTACCAACGAATAGTGGGATTGACCATCACATTATAACGCACCCACAGCTGAAAGGGCGAGCATGTTTGGTGTGACAGGGATTTTGAACCCACAGACTGGAAGTTGAGCGCCCTAACCACGTGGCCATGCCAGGCCCACGTAGACAGGAAAGCTTGAGTTGTTACACTACTGAAATGTCCATAAAATGTCGTTGTGTTCGTCTCTTTATTTACATATTCCTTAAATAACATTATTTTATCATTTTTACTGTATATGTGGCTTTGTATTTTCTGTTATAGTTTATATATTACAGTAATTTTGTCATCGCATTTGTTTTAAAAGAAAATTTGACTTTCTTTGATGACACGAATGAAACAAAATATATATACATTAAAATTTTTAAAATGTTATTTTTTATGTAAATATTTTGCTATTTTTTCTTTTACTGCCATCTGGCGCTAAACATACTAACTATAGTAAATTGTCGGTATTTGGTAGATATCTTTTCATAAATTACGACACATGGGTTAGCGATGGCGAACAACAACGAGTACGAAACAGATTCAGAAGAGGAAAAAGTTATCAAACTCCGAGAAAAATTAATAGTTTTACGATTTAAGGGCTTAAATGAAGGATTAAGCTTACGAGAAATGCAAAATATTATTTTAAAAAGTGCAACGAAACCAAACAAATGCCAAAATGAAGTGACGGCTAAAAATAAAAAGGAGAACGTTCCACGACCAATACGAGTGTTAAATGTTTGTTCGAGCTTTGCCTTTTTGGCACTTTTGGTTGCTGTTATATTTCAGAATAGAGATATTTTTAAGTCGCAGTGTGCTGTTCTAAACAATTACATTGTTATGGAAGTGACAAGACCAGTAACTGACTGTAATATCTGCAAAGATGTAGACAGTGTTGTTGTTTTACAGAATATAACGAGAGAAATTTTTGCCAAATATGCATACATGTCGCGGCCTGTTTTGGTTAAGGATGCCACTGTAAGTTGGAAAGCTTTGAACACTTTTAATTTCTCTTTCTTCCGAAAGCTTTACTCTGAAATAGGTGGAGCCTATAAAAGTGTGGAGGAAGAATGTCAGTTCTTTCCTTTCAAAACAAATTTTTTACATCTTCAAGATGTTTTCAACATGCCAGAAGATAGAGCAATGATGAAAACAAGAGATTCTAAAACGTGGTATATTGGGTGGTAAGTGAACTCGGAAGAGTTACCTTGAACTAAACTTTTATCAATGAGTTTTTGGATTCAATAAGTAATAATTTTATAAAACTGGTTGAACAAAGGATTTTTTTCTAAGCCATCTACATATAACGAATGAGCATTTGATCTCTGATATACTGCCCATAGGCATAACTCTTGTTTCTCAAACAAATAAATAAACAAGCACTTGTTTTACACAAAACATCACCACTAACATTAGTCACAGTTTGTTTGATCTGTAATAAGATTTGATTTTGTAACTGGGCTACTTCAGGTCCAGGGAGGGGGTCTAGTTTTAAAATAATTTGCTTATTTTAGACTCATCCTTATCTCGACTATTTTATATATATAGTAACACTAATTTACAGACTTTTTTTTAGGTACGTATAGTATTTAAAAAATTCAGAACTATTTACAAATTAAAATTGACCACAAATATTAATTAGTATTGTTATATTTTCATCTGTATTTGTTATTGTTGCTAAAATCGTAGTGACATGGTAAGGAAGGGAGTTAGAATAACAGTAGGTGTTATGTACCTGCTGACCATTAGGGTTAGAATACTTTGCCATTAATTATAGAAAAACATCGCTTGATGAAAATTAGGGGGAGGGGAGGAAAGTTTACCACTACTTTTGAAACTGTCTTGGATATGTTTATTTCTGAATAAACTTTAAAGTATTTAAAGATAATTAAAAACATCAGACTTTTGATGGTTTCTGGAAAAGTATTTGTGTAAAACAATAATTTTTTTTTATATAATCATAGTTACTGTAGAAGGGTATTTTGACATCCAAGTTAATTTACTATGAGCTTTATTAATTGTGATTAATGATAGATAGTAACTAGTTTTGATTTTTAGAGAATGTACCGTACGTTCATACAGACTACACAACAATTCCTGAAATGAAAACAATCGTATAAAGTACAAATATGAATGAGTTTTATATTAAATGTGATGTACCAGTCTCCAATTTTGGTAATTCATTTTTGTTTTTTTTAGAAATATCGGCCTTGGCAAATGGAACTGTTTGTATTCAATGTCACATCTATAATCACACAAAACTGTCATCATTCAATATCTGTTAACAAATAACAGTAAAACCATCATCATTCAATGTCTGTTAACAAATAACAGTAAAACCATCATCATTCAGTATCTGTTAACAAATAACAGTAAAACCATCATCATTCAATATCTGTTAACAAATAACAGTAAAACCATCATCATTCAATATCTGTTAACAAATAACAGTAAAACCAGTCATCATTCAATATCTGTTAACAAATAACAGTAAAACCATCATCATTCAATATCTGTTAACAAATAACAGTAAAACCATCATCATTCAATATCTGTTAATAAATAACGGTAAAACCATCATCATTCAATATCTGTTAACAAATAACAGCACACACGTAATTTTATAATAACTTTGACTAAAAACATTAGATTACAATCCTGTAATTTTTGAAGTTCAAACTTCCAGTATTTTTATTTTATCTCTCAGTTAAAACAATCCACACCCAAGTTATCTATTTCCCAAAATTCTTTAAACACATAATTCAAGTCATTACTGGTTCTTCTCTTCTCTACTGTATGGAAAACAAATGCTAACTTTAGTAACAAAACCATACCAAGCTATGTCAACTTGAAGAAAACAAACCCTAACTTAAGTGATACAACCCATACCAAGCTATGTCAGCTTGAAGAAAATAAATCCTAACTTAAGTGACACAACCCATACCAAGCTATGTCAGCTTGAAGAAAACAAACCCTAACTTAAGTGACACAACCCCTACCAAGCTATGTCAGCTTGAAGAAAACAAATCCTAACTTTAGTGACACAACCCATACCAAGCTATGTCAACTTGAAGAAAACAAACCCTAACTTTAGTGACACAACCCATACCAAGCTATGTCAACTTGAAGAAAACAAACCCTAACTTTAGTGACACAACCCATACCAAGCTGTTAACATATTTATAGGGTTTCTTGTATGGTGTATTTACAGGATATCTGTTAACATACTTACATAGTTTCTGTACTATGTATTTACACGATTTCTCTGTGTGATACGTTTACTGGATATCTGTTAACATACTTACATAGTTTCTGTACTATGTATTTACAGGATTTCTCAGTGTGATACGTTTACTGGATATCTGTTAACATACTTACATAGTTTCTGTACTATGTATTTACACGATTTCTCTGTGTGATACGTTTACTGGATATCTGTTAACATACTTACATAGTTTCTGTACTATGTATTTACACGATTTCTCTGTGTGATACGTTTACTGGATATCTGTTAACATACTTACATAGTTTCTGTACTATGTATTTACACGATTTCTCTGTGTGATACGTTTACAGGATATCTGTTGACATATGTACAGAGTTTCTGTGTGATGTAATTATATGATTCCTGCATTGGACTTGAATATTTCTTATGTAAAACTAATACATTATCAACAGTTTGCATGTAGTGGTAGAGAAAACATGTGCATTTAACTTATAAAAATTTCTTACTTAAGCCTATTGATTGCAAGTATCATAGGAAACACTGCCAAATAAATAAAGTGACTTTTTTTCAACATGTTTCATACCTTAAGCCTTACTCGTTTCTTTATTGTGACTGCTACAGAAGTACACAGCTGAAGCAAGGGTAAAAATTTGTTCTGAGGCGTGGTCTAAACAGAAATGTTCTCACCCAAGGGATTAGTGAAAGTGTGCACTGTATTGGAAGTAAAACTGATATCAGTTTACTCAATAAAATAAGTAAATCAACTGAATTTTGGTTCTTGTGTTCTCACAAAATGTATTTAATCTAGGATTTTAGAGTAAGCTTAAATTGTCTTTTTTTTTTATACATAACTGTAAACGGTAACTATAAACAAAATTATTTGAACATGAAACCATTTTAGAACTATGCCACTAACAAACATGTGGACATTTAAAAGGATTTTGTTTTCTAAACTTTATTATTTTTCCAATTATTCTTCAGTCATTTGCAAGTTCTCATCAGAATCAGTTGTTTCCAAAACTTCTAAATATGTAGAATGTCTTGCCTGGTGATCTGGTCATAATACAAACTAAAATTCTTTTTATATTTGATAACTTTTGAAAGTTTTGTTAAAAGTCTGACCTTGATGGTTCAATTGGCCTTCCCTATGTGTAATAAGTTTCCACTAAGTATTTAATTGCTCCTGATCAGTAGTGTCACTACAACTGAATGTCCAACGTTTATTTTCTTATCAGTTTTGAGTTTCATATGTCCTTAATGATTTGCTTACACAGTTGTTAATCAGAGCTGGTTTGTTTTCCTGTCTTTGTCAGTTTTCACTTGTTGTTCACATTCTGTGATATTGAACCAGTTTTGATAAGTTTATAGTTTTCATTTGCAGTTGTTAGAAGAATTCATCTATGTTTGAGACAAGTCACGCTTGATATTGGACTGTTGAACATATATCAACTTTTGGTATGGTTTACCTATTGATTAAAGTATCACCTCTGTAGAGGAACAGACTTTTGGTATGGTTTACCTATTGATGTGATACTTTACTCTGTAGAGGAACAGACTTTTGGTATGGTTTGCCTGATTATGTGACACAAGTTCTAGATTACCTTCTGTAAAACGTTTTGATTATGGAACTTACAATTGATTGTTTCTTTAATGGTGGAAGAGAGACATCAATGTGATGAATGCCTTCCTTTTTGAGAAAGTCAATTTCACTTTCACATTATTCTTTTGTTACTTTATAGGATCATAATTGGTGGTATTGAAAAATAAACAAGACAGTAACATAACCCCTCTTCAATAAGGGACCATTAGGACCTTCAAGGCTATCCTTTTGCACCCATACATAGATATCAGTTTTGTGGGGACATGGAAAGATTAAGAATCTCACACCATTCTCTACTTTTCAGAAAATCATCCATGCCCCCTATAGAGTCCTGTAAATTGTTGGTCTTAACTACCATTGATGACAACTCATCTATAAGTCAGTCACTCTGTAATTAAATTCAAAGTATCTTAACTGGAGTCTAGCCTATTATCTTCAGATTTTTAATCTTAGCTCGTCTTGAAATATCAAAAAAAGATCATCTCTTACTCTTCTTTTTTTAGCAGATCATAAATCGAGCGACATTAACCTCATTGTGTCAGTATTGTTTCTCTGACCAAAATTGGATAAAGTATTCAAAGTGGGGCCTAACTAGTGATTTGTGTCAAGAGATAATTAACTCTTTTCAATATTTCTATAACGACACCCTAAACTTCTATTAGTTCAATACAATGTTACTAGTGCTAGTTTAGGGTGTCGTTATAGAAATTTCTATTAGCTGTAGCACTAGTAACATTGTATTGATTTCTATAACGACACCCTAAACTTCTATTAGCTCTAGCACTAGTAACATTGTATTTATTTCTATAAAGACACCCTAAACTTCTATTAGTTCTAGCACTAGTAACATTGTATTGATTTCTATAACGACACCCTAAACTTCTATTAGCTCTAGCACTAATAACATTGTATTGATTTCTATAACAACACCCTAAACTTCTATTAGCTCTAGCACTAGTAACATTGTATTGCTTCTGTGACTTATCCATCACTATGCCAAGATCCTTTTCTTCAGTCATGCTGTTGAGTTAGTTCCCATCTATATTAAATGTGTGATTCAAATTATGATAAATTAAAAAAAACTTCCTTACACTTAATGTGATTAAAGGTCATTTGACAGATATTGTTCCAACTGTCCAATTGAGCCAGGTTATTCTGTAGCACCAACTTTCCAACTGATCCAGGTTATTCTGTAGTACCAACTTTCCAACTGATACAGGTTATTCTGTAGCACCAACTTTCCAACTGATCCAGGTTATTCTGTTGTACCAACTTTCCAACTGATCCAGGTTATTCTGTAGCACCAACTTTCCAACTGATCCAGGTTATTCTGTAGTACCAACTTTCCAACTGATCCA